GAAGCATGTTAGTGGCCCCAGCGTGGTCACCCACAGGCTTTGAAGCTCCCTGTCTGCCACCAAGGAGGGTGGGGGATGATCCTGTCTCGCTGTGCTTGGTCCCAGCTGAACCTACACAGTAGTTGTCTGTTGATTTAGGGAATCAGGGAGTCTTCTCTTGTGCAGATGGGAGAGACTGGAAAGCTAATGAGAGCTGGTTCTGGTGGATCTGAATAACTCACTAGATATTCCTGAGGCAGCCACAAAGGGCTGTTTGGGCCTCTGATGGCACCTTTGCAGCCTGTGGGGTGGCACCTGCAGGTGTGGCCCTGGTGTCAGTGGTGGGGTGTGAGGCACTGAGCTCCCCACAGCCCATCCTGGGCAGTGATATACCACAGACCTGGGTCAGCTGGTGGGGAGTCATGAGCCCAAATGCCTCCTTTGCTGCAGAGGGAAGAGGAATTGAAGATGGAAGCAGTGACTAGAAAGCCAGCCATGCCGGTTTTTGAGACTTTCTTCTTCCCCCTTAAACTGTTTCATTGTAATTACTGTGCAAACAGAAGGCCTGGGTAATTATTACATGGATTGATGGGTGTAAATTTAACATATCGTTCCCATGCAGCCACACTGTGAAGGAAGGCTTTTTCCTTGGAGTTCTTCTCCTTAACTCCCTGCTTTTAGTTTTTCCCTGGACTCAGCATGGCCAGTTAATCATCACCTGAATGGGAAACAGCTCTGAACCCTGATCAGGAGCAGGGACTGGCACTGCCATCAGGTAAACCTGGGTTGCAGGAGGATACAGTGAATATGGAGATGCAGCTTGGCCCAGTCCAGAGCACAGGGAAAGGGATGCAAAGTGCAGTTGGTAGGTGTCACAAGGCTTCTGAGAGCCCCCTTGTCCCCACCCAAACCTTGGCTGAGGGTATAGCATGAAACTGTGTCAGGGCAGGGTTAGGTTGGATCTCAGGAAAAGGTCCTTCCCCCAGAGGGTGGTTGGCACTGAACAGGCTCCCCAGGGCAGTGGGCACAGCCCCAAGGCTGCCAGAGCTCCAGGAGGGTTTGGACAACGCTCTGAGGGACAGGGTGGGATTGTTGGGGTGTCTGTGCAGGGCCAGGAGTTGGACTGGGTGATCCTTGAAGGTCCCTTCCAGCCCAGGTTATTCTATAGTTCTATGGTGATTCATGAGTTCCAACAGGACACTCAAGCTAACGAATCCCATGTTTAAGTGCTGGGATTTATTTAGGGGCATTGGGAAATGGCAGCATTGTGTTTCACTTCTCCAGAGCTCTGGTGGCCAGAGCTTGTTGAGCTGAAGCACCAGTCTCTCTCTCTCAAGTCAGCACAGAACAAAAGTGCAAGTGAATCTCAGGGACAGTCTTTTGCATTTTTATTTCTGACTTTACCATATTGCACAAAAAGCCACGAATCTCAGCTGGTATTATTATTTATTGTAAGAGAAGTTTCCATGGGATCAGAGCAGTTTCCCCTTCCAGCTGGTCATAACAAGCTGAATTTTTTCACCACCTGCGTTCAACTCTAAGCACGAAACAAATCAGCCCAAATGTGGCTTGTTGAAACATTCCCATAGCCCAGGATGAAAGAGGTGGCTACAAACAACTGGGAATGTACGTGGGCTTTTGTGTCTGGGTGTGATACAGTCAGACAAACCTGCACTGCTGTCTGAGCTGCAGAACAGGTGACTGGGAAAAGACTCTCGTGTAAGTTATAAATTGTCTCCTGTCACCCCTGCTGCTGTCTCAGTCTGCTGCTCCACACCTTCCTATTATATTTGTTTCCTTCCTCCTTCCCTTTCTCTATATTAAAACAAAGCAGAAAGTGCTTCTGCTGAAGGCACCCATGGTTATGCCCTGCTCAGAGGATTTTTAGAAGAATCCCCTGGGTTTGGGTCGCCAGCTCTCACAAATAAACTACTCAGTGAAGCCCTTTGCTGAGCAGTTGGTTTTCTGCTGGTTGGATAAAGATGCTGTTGGAAGCAGTTTCATCTTTGCAGTTTATCTTTTATTTCCCACACATACATTCTGTAGCATAACATGTCCTGCTGGGAGCTAAACCTGTCTGTGCTTTTGGACTCACCTACACTGGTCATGTTTTGTTCCAAGTCCCACAAAACCCAAAATCTGTTGGGCTTGCCCTTCCTGTGCACAACCCCTCCGTGGTCCATGTGGACAGCTGGGGGTCTATATTTGTGCCCACAAAGACCCAGGTGTCCTCTGGAGTGTCCCAGGGGTCCTGGCTTGCTCTTGGTGTGTGTGTAAACACCATGGGATTAATGAGGTTGGGTAGGTTTGGGAACAACAAAGGTGGAAGGGGCTATACTTTCCTTCCTCCTTTCTCCTTCTTGAAGAGCACTGGATCCATTTTGTCTCCAGACTGTAAAGGAGGGGAGTGGAAAATTAAGATGTAGGAGAGATAAGACCCAAGCCTTCATGTTTCCAACAGGGAGATCACTTTATTGTGCTGGAGTTTTCCACAGTATCCCCACAGGTCTTGGGGGTGCTCTGTGTTCCTTGTCACTACAACACTCCCTCAGCCGGTGGTGCTTTGGCCACAGGGGAGGGGTGTTTTAAAGATGTGATGAATTCATGCCCAAACCTTGCCTTGTGGCAACAAGACCAAGGTGATTTTCTACTTTATGGAGGTACTTTTAGTCAGCCCAGGCTACTCTTCTATGTATAAAGTTCTTGTTGCTCCCAGCTGAGAGAAGCACAGGGGTCCTCTCTTACAGAAAATACAGATCAGGAAGAACATCCTAAGGATTTGCTCTGCTATTCACTTGTGGTCACTCCCCTGGTGTGAGTGGAAAGGGAACATGTCAATTAATTTTGTTTACTTGAACAGAATTAATGTTTTCCTGCATTTTTAAAGAGATACTTCTTCTAACTTTGAGCATTTTTTTATTTGAACTGTAAAAATAATTTTCTGACCTTTTTTTTTTTTTTTTTATCAAAAGCAAGGGAACATATGAAAGGGAATCTTTCTTCTGATCAGCTTCCACTTAATAGATGTGTATTGTTCAAAGGGATGTTTGCATCAAACTTTTCTAATGAGCTCTGTGGACTGGACATGGCCAAGAAAAGTGCCTGGCTTAAGGTGGTGCTTGTTTTGACTTCTCCTATCTGTGGAATAAGTGGAGAAGCAATTTTGTAGGTCACAGGATGGGATGGTGAAGAGAACAGATGAGATAAAAGTCCCTTATACCTGAATATTTTTTGACAAAGATCTAAATAAAGCTCTTGGTCTTGTGCAACAGGGTTACATCCTGCCAGTGTGACCAGTCCTGGATTTTGACCTGCTCTGATAAGTCTGGAAAATTACTTTGTAATGTTTAGCTACTGCCATTATTTCTGCAGTTTTGGACTTTCATTCTGGGTTTGCACTTCCCCAAGGTTGTCAGGAGTCTGGGCTGGGCTAATTCCCTGTGAAGAAAGCTGAAAGGGCTCTGTTGTTTCTGTGCCTTTAAAATATAAAGTTCAGAGCTCTCTTGTTCGGTGCCTTGGAAAGTAACTGATGACAAAAGAGATTTGGAGTTTGGATAAGATAAGAATCAAATTGAATATTTGTCCTGAACCAGCAATGCACTCTATCTATTCAGGAGATCCAATGTGTTGTGCTTGTTTTAAAATAGTTTTTCTGTTCTCTTCATCCCCTAAAATTCTCTGTGCTGGTGTCAGACTCGAGCACTAAATCCATCAACAGCCACAAACACCGCAGGGCAATGGTAAATTTGTCTCTTAAATTTGGTAATAGTGAACTTCCCCATCCCATTTTTGTCATGGTAAAGTACCATAGGAGTTAAAAATATCTGGAGATATTTTTATAATTTGTCAAGGAAGGCAGAGCTCCCCCGAGCTGCTGATTTCAGAGATGGACCTGAGCTGAAGTGTCTGTATTGTCCCAGCTCCTAAAATCGCTGCAGCTCAGCTTTAAACATCTGCTTCCATTTCCCAGATTGGGCAGGACACTTAAAGTCAGAATAATTAACCATGTGCAGGAGCACCCCTGACCAGGAATTCCACGCTGCAGTCCCCAGGCTGGGATCTCTGTGCCTTCTTGCTTTGGTGAATCGCAGTTTATTCCTCTTGGACCAAGGCCTGGTGCCTCCCTCCTTGGAGACCATTCCCATAATTCCTGTGTAATTAGATTAGCTCTAACTAGACCTACCTACAACAGACAGAATACATTTTTCCAGCCTCCCCAGATCCTGTAGAAATTTATGCCTGTGGTCCCTCCCAGTGGGAGCTTGTGCTGAACAGAGACACAGCGACAGAAAATAGCCTTTTAAAAATGAAGACTTATCCAGCACTAATAGTAGGACTAATGAAGTTTAGGAAGTGTTAACTGATGTTTCTGGGCTTGCTTTTATTATCTGAATCCAGTAAACTGGAGTCCAGGAACCAGGTGATATATCAGGAGGTTGGTGTAGGCATTGAAATGGCTGGTTCTTCATTGCCTCTTGATATTTATTTAGAAGGCACTAGAAAAAACACTGCATTTTCTGACAAACCTGCCAATAAATTTGCTCGGTAGCACAAATAATGAGCAGCATGGGGACATGGCTGGCAGGTGATAGTCTTGACATGTTTGTAAGCAACTCAAAATCCATTTCCATGTGATCAAAATTGCACAAGAGTCTAAGGCAACACTGAATCAGGGTCTAAAATCTAATATATCAATTGTGATGTGCTACCTAGTAATCAGCTACAAGAAAACTTATCTTGCTCAGGTTGTATTTCTAGCTAGCACAGAGACTGAAAATTAAAGAATTAGCATATTTGTGGCAAATAAAATATTACGCTTCCAAGCAAGTGACTGTCCTTATTTAATACCCTGCTTTGTATTTAGAGTAGCTGCAGAGGCACATCCTATATGTGCTCAGTACAGCCAGCTGAATTATGTGTTTGGAATAATTCAGCAGATAAATTCATGTCCATGAATAATCTGCATTCAGATCATGACCTTTACCAAGCTGTACTTTTTTTTTTTTTTTTTCCAGGGCTCAGGGCTTTCATCTGATGCTGGGAAGAGACAAGAATGCAGGGAAAGTTTCCTCCCATCTCCTCCCCTCTGGTAGGATTCCTCATTTTGGGAAGCAGGGCAGGAAAGTGGGAAGAAGGATTTTCTGAGCTCGTTGCTGGAGCTGGGGAAGCAGTGGTGTTTGAAGTACACACAAGGGGTTGGGACCTCAGGATCAGAGGGAGCAGAGCCGTGTGTGGCAGCAGTAAATGCACATCTGCTGTCACCAACCATGGACTAAGAGCAGAAGTGCAGTCCCCAGAGCTCAGCTGATGTGTAGCACCTTCCCAAGCCACAGTCACTGACTCCTCTCTGAGCCCTGGGAGGGGTCAGACAGGTGGGAGCAGCTCTCAGAGCCTACCCCAAGCTCAGGGTGCTGCCGGTGGCTCTCATCCCTAAACCTGGGCTGCAGAGGGAATCCATCCAGGCAGTGGGCAGAGCTGGAGTGTGGTAACTTCTGTCTCACAGTTGTTGGACTCTGGGAAATGAGGCAGGGCAGTCTGTCCAGGTGATATGTTTATTCACTGAAACAGCTGGATGCTTATCCCAGCACTAACCTGATGGGAAAAGAGTAATGAAGCAGCTCTCGCTGTGCGAGCTCAGCTCATTCTGCACACCTTAGTGCGTTAAGAGAGAAGAGAACAAAATTAAAACAGTGTCAGCACCATGGACAGGCACTTAGAGAAGTGCAGGTTACAGCTACAAGTGCTTGTAAGCCTTGGTAGGTTTTACTCATCGTGCCAAAAACTAATAGGGAATAAAATAGCCAGAAAGCAACAGGGCAGTAAAGTGTCAGGAGTGAAAACTGAGCTAGAGAGTTCCACTTAGCAAATATTATGTCTTGATATTGGGTGATTCTGACTAGTGATTTTAGAATTGAACTTCAGCATTTTTAAGGATGAAACATTCACATTCGCCCTCATTTGCTTTCAGCAGTTTCACAGAGCCTTGTGCTGCTCTCACACAGAAATGTCTGTGAACTCTGTGATGTTCTTTATTTGCTTCTTGCGTTTAAGAAGGTAAGTGAAGTTCTGTATAACCTGCTGCTGTGGGAGTGAGGCTCCCCTTTGGCATGTTCCTCACATCCCCTGGATTATCTGGGTGAAGGAAAACATCACAGGCTGCAAGTCCTGGTGTTGCTGTGGCAGGGGCATCGTGTTTAGCTCAAGAGACTTTGGTGGTTCGATACACCAGGTCACCCAAGGAGCTGATCCTCCTGCAAAATGAGCAGGAAAACCCAGTCTCAGGGATGGACTAGGTAGGCTGTAGCCCTGACTTTGCTGTTTCCCCCATGGATAAAAGCAGTGCCTCTGTTTCCCTGCCTGTAACGTGGGGGACTAGTAATGTTGTCTCTCTGTAAGGGTTGGGAGAGTGGATGAGAAGCTCAAAGCAGATGATGCTGTTCTGCAGAAAACGTGTATGAAGCAGGATTGAAAGGGTTTGAGCATTCAGCACTCTGAAGTTTATTTGCTGTTTCAGCTTGTTTGTTCTTTCATCAGGCCATTGAACAATAGCTAATGAAAGGGGGTGACCTGATATTTTTTTTTACAGGATATTACTCTTCCTGTGTCTTTGAACCAATTAACAAGCAGCAGCTTTGTGTGTGGAATGCAGCAGCGTTGGGTTCTCCCTGCCAGGGCTTTGATGACTGCTGCAAAAGAAAAACGTGACTGGATGGGGCTTTCATTATTTCATTATTCTCTAAATTTATTTTAGGCTGCTAAAGAATTAATGTGAATAATTTTCCCATTTCACCATCTGCTTTAGACTCCATCTCAAAGGGTTCCCAAAGAGCGTGGTATGCAAAACCCTTTAAAAATGATCCTCTCCATATTTCCTGCACTCAGCAGTCTGCTAATGTGGCCAATAGATCTGGGTGAAGGGCCTGCATGATTTAGAGAGGATCATTAGGGTTATGATGAGCTATGCAACTGTCTTGTTTATTCACAGTTAGCAATTTCAGAGCAGTGCCTTTTGTCTCAGAAAAATTGTTGCATTCAAGCCTTTACAGAGAGAGCAGTGCCAGAAACAGTCAGCCAGAGACATCTACCTTGGGCTCAGGAGCACAAGCTGCTCCACTGCTTTCCATCTCATTTCCCTCATGGGTTGGGCTGGAAACACGGAGGAGCTCTGGTGAGCTCTCCATAATTGACATGGGGGTCAGTGCTGGTCTTCCCCTGGCATTCAAAGGGTTATTCACCTAGAGTTTACATTTCTTGTCCAATCTCTGTGCATTTCCCACTCCCATCTCTTGAGTACAAGGGTTTACTCAGTCTTTGCCTACCAGGGTGGAACTGCACCAGAGCCTCTATTAAACATCCTCGCTGTGATGCCTCTCAGTGCAGTCCACAAGGCCCTCCTTCCTTGCGAGGAGGAGGAGGAGGATTAGGAAGCTAAAGTATTTAACCTGCCTGTCAAACAAAATTATTCATGGCAGGTGAGCAGCTGAGCAACATTTTGCAAGGTTCCTGTGAATAATGCATAAGATGGTCAGTCTTGGCACGGCAGTGTTGCTCCAACTCTGGAATAATTCACACGCCTGAAAGGGAGAAGGTGCCCATCCCAGCCTTTGCCATTTTCTGTGATGGGAGTGAGGGATGGCGAAGCGTGAGAGGCTGCAGCTCTGCCCTGTGGGGGTGTGGGTGTGCTGTGAGCGTGGGGCAGGGCAGAGGGGCACAGGCACTCTGTGCTGGGCTGGCTCTGAGGGCTCTGACTCATCCCAGAGCCCGGCTGTGCCCGCGCGTCACCGCCTGACTGTGCCCGCAGGACGGGGCCAAAGGAGATTTATTGCTGTGGGTAAAGCTGGATCATAATGAGGTTACACAGCCCTGGGACTGCACCTAACTCATCTCCTGCCAGCCTTGGACCAGGGGGAGATAAACGTGCAGCCGCCCTCGTCTCTCCCCACTAGATTTTGTTTGCAGTTCAGAAGACAGATGGACAGCCACGTACACAAATACTCTCAGACTTCTCCCCAAAGTGTGATGTCATTCTGTTTTTTTGTATTCAGTGTAAAATATTATAATGGCACCATTTCCTTACTTCAAGTAAAAAAATTGTAGAGCAGATCCTCTGTTCTTATAAAAAGCCTGTGAGTCTATTACTTTGCTGGGAATTGGATTTTTCTTTTATTCTTGAAAGGTAGTGCTTTCCTCACCTAAAAAAATATTATACTTTGGCTGAAAAAAATTTTTACCATGTTTTGTAATAGAATGCATAAAGGACTCTCTGAATATTTTAATTTTTGATGATATACAGAAAATCTTAACTTTATATTTTTAAGTACTGGCATAATATAAATTAAAACAAACAAACAATGAACCCTCCGGCTGTTTGTTTGTTTTAAATAAACTTTAATTTTCTCTTACTCTTTCATCAGTTAACCTGTTGGCTTTTTATCCACCCTGTCAATGCATGAGATGATAAAAGAAAATACAAATGTGCTGGAAAACTGTGTTGTCCAGCACTTCACAAACACACACACATCCTCCTTGGTTTGAAAACTGTATTTTGATTACTGATTTGCCACTGCCAACATAAAAAAGTCAAAAAAAATCTTGGTTCAAACTCTGTAGGTCAAAGAGAGTCTGTGACTTATTGACTTTGGCTCAAATATTGGAAGCACAGACACAAAAGAGATGGAGAGACGTGGCTGACCTGAAGAGATCCCATTTCCAGGAGCCATCCATGGGAGGTATCAGGAAGCTGTGGTGGACAGGGAGGTAAATAGAGTGGGTGTTACAGATTTAACATATGGCTGCAAGGGCACTGGAGTGAGGCCTTTAATTTCACATTGGGATTCTTCTCGTATTTGTTAGATAGAACAATATTAACCTTTTGAATTTATTTAGAAACTCATTAGTGCTTTTTTCTATAGTCCATTCTTTTCCTGATTAGCTCTCCTCATTACAATTCAAATTTCTTTCTGCTACATTTACCACATTGTCCTGCTTTCTCTCATCTCTATTGTTGCTTGGCTTAATTTATTAAAGCAATGAAAAGGGAAGGGGGGGATCGGTTGACACAGCAGCCTCCTGAGCCTTTTGGTGCTCAGGGAGGGAGAGAGAAGAAGGAGAGACACCCATGAGTTTGCCTTTTCCCCCAGGAAAAGGGGTGGGAGGATGTGGCAGCAGTTTCTGTACAAGTATGGGACACCAACAGGGCTTGGAGTGGCAGCGGCAGGAGATGAAAGACCTTCTGGATCTGCCTTAGCCCATGCCCAAAGCTGCCACCAAGGCACTGAGGTGCCAGGTGAAGGCAGCTGCCCTCACACATTCCCACAGTGACCCTCCCTTGCTGTGCTGCTGTAGCCTTGGCTTTTCTTCCCTTCTCATTTCAGCTGTTGCTCAATCCCACAGTTTTTAAATGGAATTCACTCTGAAAGTTCAGTGTCCTCATCATGTCCTGGGAACAGAGGTGACTGATACCCCTGGCTCTTCTGGCATCCTCCTTGTAAGGTTGTTTTTAAAGCTGCGTGTGTGCCTTTAGTAGCATTTCTTTTTGTACTTTTCCTTGATATCAAAATGGAAGTCTGGGAGCTGCTGTCTCTTGACTTCACACATCTCCAGTGGAATGTGAATTGATGCTTTGATAAGGTTTCTTTTTCCCTGTCCCTGTTTTGGGGGAACTGGAATGGGGAGATGCTAAGCTTCATTTATGCAATTGCTGCCCTGATCTGCAAAGTATTTTTTGCTGGGAATGTGGAATTTTTGCCTTGTCTTTATTTTATTTTGTTTTAGTACAATGCTTATTTCTCAGCAGCAACGCTGCCATATCCCATGTGCTGGTGATTAAAGATGCACACACTTCTGACAAGAGATGATTAAATACAGCCAGATGATTTTAACCAACCCAGTCATTGTGGTTCTCTGATTATTGGTGTGTTTGAACAGCTCACAAATGGGAATGAATGTGTTTAAGGAGCAGCTATTGTAAAACAGGGAAGTACCAGAGTATTTTATTTGAGGCACAGAGGGATTAACTCAGCAAAGGTTATAGAGAGAGGTTTTGGCAGGGCCACAAAAAGAATCTAAATTTTGGAGTTTCTACTCCAATGCCTTAATCATAAAATCATCTTTTCTCTGAATTCTTTTCTGTCTGTGGTAATTATAGTTATGGCTGGGTTTATGTCCTTTATAAAAACCTGTCTTTCACACATCTTGTGAAACTGAAAGAAGAAAAAAAAAAAGAAGAGGATAAAACAATCATAATTTTCCAAGTGTGTAATTCTGGACTCCAACAGAGACCTAAAACAAGTAAGGTAATTATTCCACTCAGTTCAGCACCATTTGGAGAATTAGGCTATTTCGTGAATTGTAGTTTTAGAATAAGACACATGAACTGGAAAAAGTTCAGTGAGCAACATGTAAAATAAAACAAATGCTTACAAATATCAGCTGAAAGAAAAGGAGCTGGCTGCAAGCCTGTGGAGTGAAGGTGGCTGGAGTAAGATGGGAAAGGTCAGTGATGTTGAGGGAAGGTTAAAATAAAAAAAAAAAAAAATTTATTAGTTTCTTTAAGTTATGGGGAAAATACCAGGGCATACTAAATTAATTCCTGGTGCAAGCTAAGGGAAAAGAGGCTTTCCCCAAGGGTGAATTTGGCCCATGGGTAATTATAGGTCAGTCGGGGGAGCTGCCAAGGGGAGGTGGAACCATCTAGTTAAAGTCTAGACCTGCATTTGTTAGTGCTGGTTAATTAACTTGTTCCTGGCAATCAGCCACCAGGGCAGGAGGTGGACTTGATTTGCAAGTTCTGATTGCCAAGAAAGTCACCCATAATTGCCTTGCAGCTTTCTGATTTTCACCTTGGTCATGTGTTGCTCTAGTTTTGTGGTTTGTGGTTTTTTTGTTGTTAGTTTTGGGTTTTTAATTCTCTCTCCACAGGTTCTTACCTTCATATAACACCGCTTTCATACTTGTTGCTACTGATGTGATTGAACCTTTGCCATGCTCTGATTTTGGGTGCAGTTCCCATAGGGTCTGGAGAACATCAACCATTCACATGGGTAAGAGGAGCA